CTGAAGGTCCACTGTATTATTAAAAGTTAAAAAAGTTATAAGTTTAAAAAAAGTTATAAAATTTTAAAAAAGTGACCTGGTGTTATAACTTGAGATACACACACGTTTCTTTTTTATTGACTGAATATGAAGGCATCTTTTCGAAAGATTTGGTGGCCCTTAAAAGGGCCGTTTCGTAAAAAACACTTTTTGTATTTTTTTTGTTGATTTTGTTGATTTTTTTTTTTTTGGTTTTTTCGTTGATTTTGTTGATTTTTTTGTTTTTTTTTCAAATTTTGTTTTCAAGGTGGCTCCACGTGGGTTCCTATGTGTTCAGTAGCTGCTGGACCAAGTGCCCTATGGATTCCTCATCAGAACTGTCCTCAGGGGGGGGGGATTCTTCTCTCCGGGACAACGGAACGAGCAGCCGGTTAGTGTTCCGACAGAGGGGACAGGGCAAGTTCTCCTCGATAATCCTGGCCGCGCAGAGGATGCATGCTGGTCGTTGAATACAACGAGAACAACAAAAGTTATTCCGTTCCCCGTCACTCAAGCAAAGGGTGCAGAAGATGGTTTGTGGGGGGACACGGAAGCCCCAGGATGGGATGCGCCCCTGATTTCTAGCCATTCTCTGGGTAGGCGGCGGTAGTGGCGGTCTGGATGGGGGCCCCGAAGTCCTCGCTCTGTTTCTAAGTCTGGTGTAGGGGTGGTCCTCCGACTCTGACTGCTGTTGAGCTCCGTATTGGCGGTAACTTGCATAAAATTGTAGCGAGAGAGCTCTTCTCCGGTGGCGATCCGTAACGATCACGACCGTCTCTATATTAATGCCAGGAATCATTCTGTAAACCTCCTGAAACTGTTGCTGGGCCATATTTGTTTCTTCTTACTTCTTACTTCTTCTTCTTATAACAATAATCAAGCACGAAGGAATGATACTGAAACCACGGAGGGGCTGTATTTATTTACAATAGCAGACGATTGTGCAATCGCGGCAAAACATCAACAAATCAATCACGTGATTAAATGTAATTGGCTACACAAAAATAATCGCTTTTGGTCATGTGATCAAAAAGAGCCCCATCACAGTGACAAAGCGAAATTGAAGGGGGAAACACCGAACCCGAGTGTATATATGACGTCATACAATAAACATAACAGTGATGTAGTATTACATGATTTTCTTTTATTTCTTAAAAACTAAAGAAAAAAATTCTTAACTGTAAAATTCTCCTCTAAAATAGTATTTCGATCTGATATTCATTGCATCCAAGGGGTAGGGTCTAGTAATTCGTAAATTTTTTGATTGAGGTTTTGGAATTAAAAAACGTCACTGATTTTTTTTTCTTAACCTGTGTGAAATTTCCAGGTATTCCGTATTGAATACATACTTTTTTTTTCTTTTCATCGCATTTATGTTCTGCCATAGTAAAAAAAAATAACTTTTTACTTTTTTATTCTCATGTTTATACCCCACGCAGGTAAAACGTATATTTCTTTTGCACACGGTCCCTAAGTATTACCTGTATAGTTAGCATAAACAAAACGTAGGTGTATCGTATTTTTGCACACAGCCCCTAAGTTTTTTGCACACGGATCTTTACAGGTGATGTAACAGGTATATAAAGCCTAGGTAAAAAAAGTGCACACGGCTCATAGCAGGTATATAAACTAAAAAACTGTAAAATTTGATAATCATTCTGCGTGGGCACCTCGAACTGGACACAGGTGAAAACAAAGAAAGCAAGGATGAATACTTCAGAAAATTCCCAGTATTATGTAACACCTGAAGGATATGAAGGAGCTCCCATGACAGAGATAATAAAGGATGCCGTGGAATTGGATTTAAATTTGGACATGATAAATTTTCATGTGTACATAAATAAAGAAGATATGAGCATTTTAAATACCACTTTGGACGGAATTGTCAACATGCTATCTGCTCTGGATAACAAGATGAATCAAATGAACACCAAGATGAATGATGTGGATAACAAAGTAAATAAATTGAACACCAAGGTGAGTGATCTTGAAAACAAGCTGGATAAAATGAAATGTTACAACAGCAGTGGATTTTGTTACATTAGTGGCCTATTATCACCAATTACAAAGTCATTCACGGGGAAAGAGACAAAAATGAGAGGGGAGGTAGGAAACACTGACCAGAAAAAAGAAGGGACCCAGGGCGGATCAGGAGAGAGTAAGAAACAGATGGATCCATGCTATGCATTGGTAAAAGACATAGAAAAAAAACCTAGGGAAACCAAAAGGAAACTACCCCTGACCAGTGAGAAGGCCCAGAAGAAGAAGAAAATGTAAAATGTATGTATATTTTCATTCTGAATAAAAATTGAATAAAAATAAAAATCTGTGTTCTTGTTTTCAATAAAACCAGTTTGAAACCGGTTATAGGGCTGTCTAGACTGTGAAGCCTGACGTCATAATGACATTCTTGTAATGTTTTTTGCACACGGCGCATTTACCTGTATAGTTAGCATAAACAAAACGTAGTACCCACGTACCAATGTAAAAAACACAATGTAAACAACTCCTTATTTAAGGGGATAGGTTAGGGTTAAAAGGGGTTAGGGATAGAGGCCTAAGGGGAAATTAGGATAGTTAGGGTTAGGGGATAGGGTTAAGAGAAAATAGGGTTAGTTTCACTTTTGTTTCTTGGTAATGAGGTTTTCAAAAAATGAAGCTACACTGTGAATGAATGCGTGACGTCATAATCACATTCTTTTGAATTGTTGCCAAAATCGTAGTAGCAGCGTATATAGTAAAATGTAAACATAGTGTAAACACCATATTTAGGGGTTATATACTGACCCACCTAGCCCAGGGTTAGGGTTAGGGGTTAGGGATAAGGGTTAGGGTTAGTTAGGGCTAGGGGGTTAGGGTAAGGGGGGTAGGGTTAAGGGGATTAGGGTTAGGGTTAGGGTTAGGGGTTAGGGGTTAGGGTTAGGGTTAGGGTTAGGGTTAGGGTTAGGGTTAGGGTTAGGGTTAGGGGTTAGGGTTAGGGTTAGGGTTAGGGGTTAGGGGTTAGGGTTAGGGTTAGGGTTAGGGGTTAGGGTTAGGGTTAGGGTTAGGGTTAGGGTTAGGGTTAGGGTTAGGGGGTTAGGGTTAGGGTTAGGGTTAGGGTTAGGGTTAGGGTTAGGGTTAGGGGGTTAGGGTTAGGGGGTTAGGGTTAGGGTTAGGGTTAGGGTTAGGGTTAGGGTTAGGGTTAGGGTTAGGGTTAGGGTTAGGGGCTAGGGTTAGTTAGGGCGAGGGGGTTAGGGTTGGTTAGGGTTAGGGTTAGTTAGTTAGGGTTAGGGCTAGTTAGGGCTAGTTAGGGTTAGGGGTAGGGTTAGAGGGGTTAGGGTTAGTTAGGGCTAGGACTGCACTCAGTTGACCCACCTATCCCCCAGCCAATCAGAATCCAGAATTTTTGACCTCATTTGCATAAAAAGTGCACTCAGTTGATCCCCCTTTCCCCTCAACCAATCAAATCTGATCAGGTGATTTCTCTCAGCCAATCAGAATGCGGGGCTATCGGGACGGTTTATACTACTGGTAGCCAAAGCAATATTTTTCTTACCTGGAAAAGTTGAAAAGAAAAACCTTGCCCAAAGTCGAAAAAGTTACTTATTTTCAGTACCAGTTCCTTGGCATACAATACTACATTTCCCTTATATAACTTTACCGTAGTATAAACTGAGTGTGTGTGGGGGGGGGGGGGGGGTTGTCAACCTGTCTATCAATGAACATTTTCAATAGAAAAAGTAATATTGGGAAAAAAAGGGGTTGGGGCTAGGCCCCTTGACGCACCCCCCCCCCCTCCGTGCGTACAGGTAAAGGAAGAGAATATGTAAATGGGTTGAACATAGTTTGGAAAATGAATTATTCATTGTGAATTCAATAAAGTTGTACATATAAAATTAATATTATTACACAGGGTTTATGAGTCTCTCTCTCTCTCTCTCTCTCTCTCTCTCTCTCCCTCTCTCTCTCTCTCTCTCTCTCTCTCTCTCTCTCTCTCTCTCTCTCATATTGTTTTTTACACACTTTGCAATAAAATTACGGTACATATATTTTTTCACTTGAGAAAAGATGTACATGTATGTCAGTTACAGGGAGTCTCTCTCTCTCTCTCTCTCTCTCTCTCTCTCTGATATTGTTTATTTACACACTTTGCAAAAAAAGAATAACTTATAAAAATAAATACATGTACTTATACTGAAAGGATTTAAAAAAAATAAATAACACTTGAGAAAAGATTGTTTTCAGTTAATTAACGAGAAATACGCTAGGAAATTATTGTATCAATTTCGTGTTTCTGCTCTCAATTCTCTGATCTAAAACAAAATGTGTATTTTACTCGGGAATATACATGTACATATGCTTAGATCCTACACTAAAACTTTGATTAAATGCAGCTCAGACTTTATACGACATATGTAACACGAATTCAGGTCGATGCTATTTTAATTAGTCTTTCTTCGTTACATGAGCACATGAGATTAAATTATTCATTTAGAATTCCATTCAAAGTTTTAATACTAAATAGTGAATCAATTATTTTACAAATAGAAAATTCTAGAAACACGGTTAATTCAAATGAAATAGGCCTTTAATTGTCACCAAATGTGTTCTTGTAAGTAAACGTTCTATGTTATGACATACAATCGAGCAAAAACGCAGTTTCTTGGTATCGCGGTAGCGGAAGACGAACTACTGCTGTATATGCAGCAATTTCAGAGGTAAAACTGTAGATGGACATGTCATCAGTCTTCAAAAAATTCCTAGAGATACAATAAAAATATGGCTGCAGCAGGCTAGATTAATTCGTAAAAACTTTATAACTAAAAATTTGTTCCGCACATTTTGTAAATAATGATGATCCGTCTGCAGAACATCCACTATCGAAAATTAGCTTTTTTGTTTGTGTTTTTTTTTAATAGGCCTATTCGAATATGTATCAGCATTTTAATTGTAATTTGTTTCTTTTTTTTTTTGTAAGGGGGGGTGGGTCACACAACACCTTATTATAGTACTACACAGATTAATACAAATCCAGAAAGAGACTATGAGTGGGCAATTTAGAAAAATACGAATCAGTTAAGATTTCTTTTTATTCACAAACACAATAACATTTTTCCATATGACAGAGGCATACACCATGAACATGTTTACATCAAGAACGTCCGCGGAAGTGACTTTATTTATAGCGCATGCGTATTAAACACAGTAAAAGAGTTCCCTTCAGGGGAAATAACTCACCTTTTGAAAATGGGGAATATCTATCAAAATAAACACGCAAGAAAAGGATACAAGGAACGAGATACACAAACCAGGTGAAGAACATCATTATTTTGGAGCTAAGATACACAGACACGGGAATAATGTTCATCAATCTCTCGTCAAAGAAAAACCTGAAAGCAAAATATCAATATATATATACATGTATCTTCACATTCTTTTTATTATTCTAAATTAAATTAACTTTTTACGATCAAAGACAGTCATTCCCCCTAACTTGATAATACTTACATGTTGAGGAATTTCCAGAAGCCCGCAGCAAGCAGAGCCAGAATTAACTTATAGTACCAAGCTATGGAGAGTTCAGGGATCAGGCCAATGGTGTACACAGCAAAAAAAGGAAACCACCACATTACCCTCTTTCTTACATCCTGTAAAGGTTAAAATTCATGTATACCCGTAAGCATTTCTTTACAAGGAACTAAGCTACAGATAACCAATCTTAAACTAATGGGGGAAAAAATAAATTGAATGTATCATTGCATTGCATGTTGTGCTCATTATATACTGTATATTAAGACACATTTTTATGGCTGACTTCAAGTAAACCTTGCATGAACCCTACAAATTCTGTAATTTAGGAAATATGTAATCTTTCAGTGAATACTTTAATTCCTGTGTTATACTGACTTTGTTCCTGGAGAGTTTGGTGAAGACGTTCTGATGATCCAGTCCCCTGTCTGCCCGCTCCTGTCTCATCCTCTTCACGATGTTGGCGTGTTTGTATTCTGCGGCCACGTCCAAAGCAGTCTGACCCTACATAAAGATTTAAACATAATAGTCAGATGTACACATAACAGTCCGACCCTACACAAACACATACACAAAATAGTCTGACCCTTCACAAAGATGTACACAAAATAGTCTGATCCTACACAAAGATGTACACAAAACCGTATACAAAGAGTTATAGACAAAACATACGTAGTAATCCTATATAGAGACATATACAAAAACCTTATAAACAATGATAAACAATATCTGTATACAACTAGACAGAACCATTACTCCTAATTAAATTGACTATTTGTGTACTACAATAACTTACTTTTTTAAAATGTTACCTTTGCATTTAAAATATTCAGATCAGCATTTTTGTCAAACAGCATTTTCACTACACATGTGTTGCCTGTTTGACAGGCAAAGTGAAGAGGCGTGTTTCCATTGACTTTGTCTTGTTTGTTAATACCTGCCCCCATGGTCATCAGTAGTCGTGTAGGGTCATACCTGGAACATAGACAGATTAACTGCTATCAAACATAAAGAATATCTGCTTGTACTTAAAATACCGTCAACATTTAACAATCATCAAACATAAAAATCATCTACTTAATAACAAAAAACAGTCTAACCTTGTTATTTTGAACTAAGAAAAAAAAAATGAGAAAGGTTGTTGGAACCCCAACTGACTTTAAGATATCCATGGTATTTGAGACATCAGTGTTCAAGATAACAAAATTCAACTGTACTTTTTAAAAACTGCTTTAGATCAAAAGTATTGCATAGAAAGAAAAAGACTTTGTCAATAAAATTGAGCACTATAAAGACTTTGATTTGTGTATCATTAAAGTAAAAGCTAAAGGCAGACAGCTAAGAAAATACCATTAATTCAAACTTGGGGGCAGAAATTGGAAGATTTAAGGCTTGTAAGATGCTCATTCTGTATTAGCCTTTCACCAAAATTGTAAAGGTTGGCATCTCTGTGCAATATCTTTAATATAACAGCATGCACAAAATCATCTACACACTGCAGTTTATGTTTAACAATGATTTGACTCTTGAGCATTTAAGAATATCATTAAGAAATCCCTTTCTCTGTCATCATTAATTGACAGAAAACTATTTTCCTTTAATCAGATTTTTAAATCAAAAACTTTCAGATGACTGGAGGACTTACCCAAACACTCTATAGGCAGAATACATTAGAGGAGTCATTCCGTTTTTGTCTATCATATCCACGTCACAACCTTTGGCAATCAGGTAGGCCACAATGGCAGTGTGTCCAAACTGACTGGCCAAGTGAATACAGCTAAATCCTGTCAGAAAAAAAGGCATAAAAAATATCAATAAAAACCAAATTAGTGCAACATATATAAAAGACTTTCTTCTGTACAATAGAAAATTAAGGGTTTAGATCTGTTCCATAGCGTACCTTGTCCATCACGTAAAGTTGGATCTGCGCCAAATCCCAGAAGGAGAACAACCATAGATATATGTCCTTGTCTTACAACGGAAAGAAGAAATAATATTATTATGTATAGCTTTCCAATGTCATAAATAGTGTAAAAAAAATCAACTTCAATATCCTAATTGACAATTAAAAAAAATAAAACAAACTTATATGAGATTTAACTAAATTCTGATACGACGATCGTATAATTATTTTTAATTACTTGACGTATTTATTTTTCAAAACTTAATAAGAAAATTATAAATAATCTTGATTTTGTACCATTTATTTTAATTATAAGTGTTATAATTATTTATTTTTAATTAATTTATATTTTAACAATATAATAATTTTTCAGACTTTGATCATGTATATCGTGTTTGTGACATTCATCGATCGGAGAACTTTATAAAGCCGGCTACCTGGTTTCTGCTGTTGCTGCGCCTGCTTTGAAAATGTTTCTTTGTTGACAAATCAATATTAGACAAAGGGATTTGCTGATGCTATTCTTTGTCTGATTGGGTCATATCCAGAGTATGCTCTGGCTTTAATCAGGTCTGGACGATTTCTAAATAAGGAAGTCAAGAACGATAACCGTGAATTTCTATTAATACACAGAATAAACAAGGCTCTAATCCTTCTGATCAATCAGATAACAGCATTTTGACAAACCCATGAGAGAATAAATAAAACACGTGGTTTTTAAGTTTTTTGCTCAAAAGATTTTTTTAGAACAAACTTTTTGTAAAATTTATGCGCATTTGGGAACAATATAATATTTATGACAATTCTACCGTGAACAAACACGACTTGAAAGCTTGGAATACGTTTTAAGTGGGTTAAAAAAAATCTGTCTGTTGGAGTTAGCAATCCCAAAAGTATACTTACGTTAAAAATTTGATATAAATACGTTAAATTTTAAGTTTTTAGAGCCTGACATAAAAATCTAATCGAAAAGATAACAGTATGTAATATTTTTGAGTGTTTATTACAGAACACTAGTAGTCCGTGCAGTTTCTGATATGTGAGGTAAGATATTGGGATAAAACGCATTCATGTATAATTACAGGATTCTCTTTTCTCCACGTTAAACGCCTTTCCTTATGCCCATTTAAAGTCTGCAAAGCTAAGTATACGGCGATCAAGAAACCCGTGATAATGCAAAACTATATGTGTATACTCCATACGATAAACACTTGTGTGAGATGATCTATACACATGGAATTTAAGCATTATCGATGAAAATCGGACTGTTAAGCAAAATTATATTTACCATCATGTAATATATTCTGGTAAATGTTATAATTGAACTTGATAAAAACGTGCTGGTGCGATCTATACCTCTGTAAACGATTACATTCTATCGCGCATATTTTTTTTTACCGGGATAAAAATGTCAAGGTTGTTCACGGTAAATATGTGGGGAATACCTTATTCTTCAAAAGCTTTCATCTTACTTCTACAGATTTTTTGTTAAAAAATCTTTTTTAGGTAAAAAAACAAAAACACGTGTTATCTTTTTGTTCTTTTAAAATATGTTTTGGGGTGTGTAAAAATGCTGTTGTCTGATTGGACAGAAAAATAATTAGGTGTACTTGATGTACATTTATAGCAACTTCCGGTTATCGTTCTTGACTTCCATATTTATAAATTGTCCAGACAGTTTTCGATAGGCCTGATTTTAGCGAAAGTTTCCTCCCGTTGATCGCGATAATGGAGGTCGACTCGGTGATTTTCCTTCTTTGTGACAAAGTCTTACTAAGTTTAAGAGGTTGTAGCAGAAATATTTGGTGGAAAATCTTTAATACATAACTTTTTTAAATTAAAGAGGCTCTCAAAAATTTATATACTTCGGAAAAACAATGATTTCTAATTGAAAATAGCAAATACAAAAAATTTAAATTGGTTGAACAATGAAGGAATAGACATTTAGACCTCCAGTATGGCGGTCAACGGGAAATAACTCTTGCTAAATTCTGGCTAATCGAAAACCATCTATACATTGATCTGTACACATTTCATTTCAGAAATGCTTACTTTTTTTTCCTACAGATCGAGTCATTACTATCTCCTTCCGCTATTGATTATTTATTTCCTAATGTTTCTGTTGGTTTTCCTCCGAATGCTATTAGTGTTAGTG